CTGTAGTACTGGTTGTACTGTAGTACTGGTTGTACTGTAGTACTGTAGTACTGGTTGTACTGGTTGTACTGTAGTACTGGTTGTACTGTAGTACTGTAGTACTGGTTGTACTGGTAGTACTGGTAACAGTGGTGTGCTCCAGGTCATCCCAGCCCAGAGGACTTTGTGTGGGACGACTACCTGCAGGAAACTGGTTCCACGGCTGCTCCCAGTTCAGCGTTCACACTGGTGAGAGGGGGCGGGGCCAGGCAGACCGGAGACCAATCAGAGAGCTCCATGCGGTGCCTGATAGCTCACTCTGTGCCTTTGTCCAATCAGAGAGCTCCGCACGGTTTCCAGGTGAACCACAGGCTGGAGGCGGTGGACAGGAGGAACCCCATGCTGATCCGTGTCGCCACGGTGACGGACACCGAGGACTACAGGGTGAAGGTACGGCGCCCTTCCCGTCACCTCTGTGACGTCATCAGAGGGGGACGATGACAGACAGCTTGTCCCCGTAGGTCCACTACGACGGCTGGTCCACTCAGCTGGACGTCTGGATGGACAGCGACCACCCAGACCTCCACCCGGTGGGATGGAGCCAGCGCACCGGGCACCCGCTGGAGCCCCCCCCAGGTCAGGGGCGGTGGGACAGAGACAGGTGGGACAGGGAAGACTGTAGGTATTGGGTCCTGAAGCCTGTCTGTCTCCTGTTGGACAGGGTCGTCCCCCTTGCCGTCCCCGTCTCAGGGAGTGTGTCCCACTACCGGCTGCAGAGGCGTTGGACACATCAAAGGAGCCAAATATACAGGACACCACAGGTACCTGTCCCTCCACCTGTCCCTCCACCTGTCCACAGTGTCTCAGGGTGTCTCTGTCCGTCCCCAGTGCCTTCGGCTGTCCGTACTCAGACATCAACATGAGGAAGGAGGTGGTGCTGCCTGACCGGCTGGGTGGGGAGAGGTCCGTCACATTGGTGCCCGTTTCCCTGTCTCACCTTCACAGGTAGCCCGGAGCGCAGGCTCTTATTCTGAAAGGACTACAGGATGATCCTTCATGCTGTCAGCAGGGGAAGCTCTGCTCTGGTGAGCAGGGAAGCAGAAAAAATTTGTTCTCATTGTCGTCTTCCTGTCTCTCCTCCTGTCCAGCAGAGGCGTCCAGGTGAAGCAGGAGTCCACTGATGTCCCTCTGCTGCCTCTGGGGAAGAGGAAAAGGCTACCTGACAGGTGAGAGCAGCTGCTCTCTGATTGGCTCTTCTCATAGTGTTCTGTCCAATCACAAGCAGCAGAATTTAAGAATAAAAGTCTGGAAGTAGAGCAATGAAACGATTGAGGATCGTCTGGATGCTAGAGAACCTCAACAGAACCTTAGTATAATCTCAGCCCAGATCACCTTTTTGGTTCCAAGCAGCCATCTTTAATAAAACCAAAGAAGAAGAATGTTTGATTTCACTGATGTCCTCTCTGGCTCCGCCCACAGACTGTCCCAACCAACCAAATGCCTGCGTGTGAAACAGGAAGAGGAGGAGCTTCCCCTCAGAACCATCAGTCCAGGTAAGGTTCCTCTGGTTCTGGTTCTACATGGGTTCAGAACCGGGCCTATGTGTCCTCCAGCTCCAGCAGGGGGAGCTGATCGCTCCAGTTCTGCTCCATAGCTGTAGAGAAAGAGTCTGTTTCCATGGAGACCAGAGTGTGAGATCAGAGGGGCGTGTCTGAAGGACTAATAGGGAAACAAAGAAACTGCAGCGGCTGCAGCCTGGTTCTGGTTCTGGTTCTGGTTCTGACTCTGACTCTAACTGTCTGCACAGCAATACCAGAACCTCCATCAGAACCTCAGGTTGGGTTCAGTCCAAACCTGATTCTCAGAACTGATCCAGTCCAGTTGAGGCCCGCCAGATTTTGGAAGGTTCTGGAGGCCCGGCCCACCTGGTCCGGTCACTCTGGGTGTGATGTCAGAGCTTCCTCTCTGTTGTCATGGAGACAGTAAGATGATTGGAACAGAGCTGTGCTGCGTTGTCATGGAAACAGAGGTTGTTTCCAAGGTAACAGCAATGTTGGTGTCCAATGAGACCCGAATCTGACTCAGCAGCACTAGGATGGTTCTGACACTGACCCGGTTCTGGTGGTTTTGGTCCTGACCTGTCTCTCTGGTTCTGGTTCTGATCTGTCAGAGTCCAGTCTGCAGGCCGTCCTCCATCAGTCTGTCTTCCTGTCGGCCATGTCAGCCCAACCAGGTCGCGACCTCTCTCTCTGCTGGGAGCAGCACAGGAAGCTGTTGCCGGGTGTGGCCCGTTTCCACGCCGACGCTGTCCGTTGCTGGACCGTCCAGCAGGTGAGCACCGCCGCCTGGTCTGCATGGCGACCCGGCTGACCCGCTGACCTGTGCTGTCTCCTCAGGTGTCGGACTTTGTGGAATCTCTTCCTGGATGTGAGGATCAGGCCCAGCAGTTCAGAGACGAGGTGAGACGGCCAATCACAGGCCCCTGCTTTAATGACATCACAGATTATGACATCCCACGCACCAAGCACAGAGGGCCACTGGAGAGGAAACCTCCACCAGGTTTCCTCTCCTGGTCCTGATCTGCCCCCTACTGGACCCGATCAGGACATCAGAGTGTTACACAGAATCAACCTTTGATTTATGTTCTGATTGGTTCCTGTTTGTTTGTAGCAAATAGATGGGCGGGCCTTCCTGCTGCTCACCCAACGGGACATTGTCAGGATCATGTCCATCAAGCTCGGCCCCGCCCTCAAGATCTACAACTCCATCCTGATGTTTAAACACGCCGAGGACAAGAGCCAATCACAGGCTGAGGAGAATAACCAATCACAGGCTGAGGAGAATAACCAATCACAGGCTGAGGAGAATAACCAATCACAGGCTGAGGACGGGAGCCAATCACAGGCCGAGGACAAGAGCCAATCACAGGCCGAGGACAGGAGCCAATCAGATGTCGAGGATCCCAGCACCTGACCGCTGCATGTTGTGACTGACCAGGTTCAGTTCCCTTACTTTGGCCCCTCCCCCTCAGCCAGGTATTAACCAATCAGGTTCAGGTGCTGCTGTCACTTTATCTCCTTTAGGCTCCGCCTCTTCGGGATGGGTGGGCTTAGCTGGATGAGTACAGAAAGGGATTCTGGGATATGTTGTCTGTGACTGAGGTACAGCTGGAAGGAGGCGGGACCAGAAGTGGCTTCGTTTCCATGGTGACACGGAGACAGCTGGAAACATGCAGTTGATGAAGATGACGATGATGAAGATGAGGTCTCATCAGCATCCTGTGTGATGTCATCATTTCCTGTCAGCAGGACTCTAACAGGAAGCAGGTGATGATGTCACACTAGCGCCCCGCCTCCTCTCCTGATGATGTCATCCCCCGGTGGGCGGAGCTCCAGACTTTCTAATGTTCCTCCATAGAGTTCTATTTTAAGCTTTCTATTCTAGATTTGTATTCTAAAGCTGACTCCGCCCCTCTGTGATGTCACAGTAGGGGCGGGGCCAACAGCCAGCTTCTGCAGGTTTCCTCAGGTTCCCATGGCAACACTTCCTGCCTGCTGTCTGTGTCAGTGTTTGACGGATCAATAAAGTTTCTGACCTGAAGTGTGATCATTGATTGGGTCCTCAGGGCGGCCGGGGGCGGGGCTTCAGCTGGTCAGAGCTGATCAATATGCTTCGGGCCAGGTCTTCCCAAAGCAGGTGTATGAAGGGGCAAGAGGGACAAAATTAAACGTATAAATAAGAATAAAATACATTTGAAGTATTTTTATCCAATAAATGTACTTCAAAATAAAATGTGTATAATTATTTTACTTTTTTATAAGTAGAAATGTATTTTTTACTCCTACAGTAAACACTGTGCTGCAGGGGTTGAATATTTATGTTTTATCTCATGATGCACATTTAGGGAACAGCTGCATTAAATTGTTTTTCCCAAAAAAAATTTATAATTTTGTTTTTAAGAAAAACAAAGTCTAAAATTAAAAGTGGGAGGAGCTCCAGGTTGCCATGGAGACCCTTCCTCTCCCACTGAGCTGTTGGTGGTTAACTGGGAATACTGGGAGGCAGTTGTGTAGAGAGCGCCCCCTGCTGGTCATACCACACACTGCAGCTCCGGTCGGTGAGGAGTTTACATGGAGACTCTGAGTATGAAAGATGATGCTGCAGCCATGAGAGCGGAGGAGGAAGAAGAGGAGGAGCAGAGCTGAGGTTATTTTCACCGAGTGAGGAGAGGGATATTTCCAGCTGAGGATCAGTGGGAGGACCCAGCCTGTCCCTCTGCTGGAGGAGCAGAGGAGGTGTGAGTCTCTGCAGCAGCAGCAGGAGGAGCAGACGGAGGAGGTAGAGGAGGTGGAGGCATTCCAGAGACGCAGCAGCCGCAGCAGCAGAGCCATGCAGCAACCGCAGCTCCAGCAGTAGGAACCAACTGTCTGTCTGCCATTGATCCGTATCGGCTCTGCAGCGATTGATTATCTGGGCTCACCAGAAACAAATCAGCTGGTTCCGATCCGTTCTGTGTGTGTGTGTGTGTGTGCTGATCAGTGGGAACCAGCTGGTACTGATCATCACAGACAGAATGGATCTCAACTTGTGGTGGTTCTGATTCATCCCTGATCTTCAGCAGTACCAGATAGTTCTGATCAGTTCTGATTGGTTCGATTTCCTCACAGAGAATGAGTCTGCTGATACAATGAATGCATGTTGGGAGATGTAGTTCCCATCTGTCAGAGTAGAAGGTCCAGGGTCCATCATTGGTTCTGAGCTCCATGATTGGTTCCGGTTGGTTCTGAGGTCCATGATTGGTTCTGGTTTGTTCTAAGGTCCGTCATTAGTTCTGGTGTCCATGATTGGTTCCGGTTGGTTCTGAGGTCCATCATTGGTTCTGGTTGGTTCTGAGGTCCATCATTGGTTCTGGTTTGTTCTAAGGTCCGTCATTAGTTCTGGTGT